CTGGAAAATTTAAGGGGTAGTTATATAATAATTTTGGACGATCTCGGGCGGTCGGATACTTATGACCGCTACTGTACATCCAAATTTATGCATAATATACATACGTAAAATCACATTTAGCAAAATCCTATTTACTGTAATTCTTAGTAGTTTATATAATACTCTGAATTTGGAATACTCTTTAGTTGAGAAATTTCTCTAGTGAAATTACAAAAATCAAAGAAATTTCGTAAAATTAATAATTTTTTCTTGAAAAAACTCATATCCAACTTTAGGATTAATCAATCTCTTAATGTTATATCAGCATCTTTGACTTTATCTAAAACGTCTTACATATTTTTTTTTATTGAGTTGGTTTAAATCATTTAGAAGTTGTAAAAAAAATTAATCGTTTGTCTAGTTCGTCAGATACACCGCAAAGAAGTTATTTTTTTTTTTTAATAAATATCTAATTATTAATTTGGAATTACTAGTATATAATTATAATTGTACATTGCCTTCAAATTCAAGGATTCTCGGAATTCATGACGCTAATTTATTAAAGAATTATCCAGTTCTATGCATTTTACGATATATGAGTATGACATTCACAAAGGTTATACCACTTTAAACTGCACTTCGCATTATAATTAAGTTATACTTACTGTGTGAGAATCAAGTCAAAATCATGGATTTTGTCATGTCTTATAATATTATTTAAAAGTTATTTAATAATTGAAGCTCATGTTTTTTAAAAGCATAAAAAGATTCATGAGAAAGCGATTAAATATAGAAAGCCGGGTAGCAATATTGTCGCTATAGGTAAATATTAAATAATAATAGGAAAGTTTTATGTGGATTTGAAATAAACGGAATATGATGAAGATAATATGACGCTTATAAACTTCATTTTGCTGTCGTCAGGACAACACAGAAACCAGTTCACGTACCTTGACAATTCCCATGACAAGTTGATAAACATATTCAATTTCCGACGATAAAAATTAATTAGATATCAGAAGCGTTAACTGGTCGGTATACCACACCACATTTTCGAACAAATATTTTGTCGAGATAGGTTTCTGAGATGATCTCAGCCTGTGATAGTGTATAGAGTTAATCAATCTGGTATTTTGAGCTTGTCAGCTAGAACTATTATATCACGAATAGTAGAAGATTGAGACGTGAAAAAAAGCACAAGTTAGTAAAACTCAAACAATATACCAAGATGGATAAAATAAATTTGCATGTCTGATGCTTGAATTAGATTCAACAATATCATTAGGACATTTGAAAGCTGACAACAAAGGTAACGTTAATGGTATTGTTGTATTCAGTTTTATCGTTTATGTATTTATAAACAATTTTAAATGTAAGCAGAAGGTTTTTATTAAATAAAAATGAAGTAACGTTGACGTTAAATTTATTTAATTAATCAATGTAGCCGCAACGCCGGCGCTCTAAACTTTCGCAATGTCAATATATTAAACTAAATAATGCAATCACTAAAATTCTATTTAATGAAAACTGCGCAATTACGAAAATTATGTAATAAAATAATAAGAAAAATGGAAATTAAAAAATAAACGGTATTACAAATATAAAATTGTAATTTTAAACTGCGAAAGCGAAATGTATATATGCAAATATAAGAAGGGCGAGCGTGGAATGCTAGGTTGTTTAAGGATTTCCGGCTCGTATTTATAAAAAAAAAAATAAAGCCTGGCGTCCTACAAAAAGACTAACTGCAAATATCGAAAACAATTTACATACGAAATTATGGTGTTTCTGGGCGGAGCTATATTTAATATCAATCTCCAAGCTAAAGTGTGGAAATTTTATTTGGTTCATTGGATATTCAAATAAAAATAAAGTTGTTTGGTAGGAGAACTTGGATTACAAACAGGAAAATTAGATGATTGTTATTTAATAGTGAATTAATAGGAAAATGGTAAATTATTATAAAATACTGATTTATTATATTTACTATAAATTTCTTTTATTAGTTACATTGAGCAGCTCATGAGTGAAATGTACTCCTTAGAAATATATTTATTGTAAAAATTAGATGTGATTTATGGATAAGGCTGCAAAATATGAATGTAATTTGTCTCGTGAATGTAAGTATTCTTTTAATAATAAAAAAAACTTGTTTATATGCATTAAATGATATACAATATTACCTATCTTATTTTATAAGGATTTATTGCAGTAGATATAATTAAGACAGCTATATAAAAGAAAGATTAATAAATAAACAATTACATTGCAATAAGTTTTAAATTTCTTTCATTATCAACAAAGTATGCATCATGATTCTTACATTTGTATTTTTCTTTCAATTCACGGATGATAATTTCCTACTTGTAAAATTTCAGAAAATTTATCCAGTTTTGTAATATTATTTATTTATGTGATCTTATATTTTCATTTTCGATTCTTCAGAATCTAATTTCTAAAAAATAAAATAAAATAAATAATATATTACCTTATTTAGAAAATAATTATTTTTGATGAAATAAATTAATCTTCACCTTTTGGTTCTGTTTCTCTTTGATATATATTTTTTCGCCTTTAATAATTTTGGTAAAAAAGAAGACCCCCTAGATACATTTTTAATCTAAAAAATTTTTATAAACTTGCATATCAATCAATCCTGCTACACTTATTTATGGCTTGAATAATCAGAATAAACAACCTCTTTACTATCAATTAGAAGTATTCATTATTGTTTGTTTGAAGTGATTGGTGTAGTCATAATTGGTTGTCAGATTTTCATACATGCATGGTTGTACTATTTGTACTACGCTATTTTGAAAATCGACGATAATATGATAACTGATCAATAAAGAATGACGGAGAAATTTCACGAAATGATCATTCCTTTTGTGTAAAATTTATATTGGATTACGAATTTTCTTCAAATGTAGTTACCCAGGTGTGACACAGAGCTAAATAAAATGATGTAAATATTTATTACTATTGTTATACAACATCTTGTGTAGATTCCTTAATCACAGAATCAGGTTTCCTAATTTTTTTAATTTGGGAGTATTAACTCCTAAAAATGGTTTTTGGAGTTTTAGCTCGCAAATGATTTTTAAATTTGTAAATAGATAAATAACACCCTCTATTTATAATGAAATGACCGTTTACAATAGAGAAAGGAAAACTAACTACTAACTCTGGATTCATTTAATGGATAAATTATTCCGGCAAATGTTTTCTTGTTGTACAAGATTATATTAGAAAATTCCCTAAAGTTGTTTATCGCGTTTCCATGGGAAAGCGTCAAGAAAATTGTGAATTGATTGATAAAGCTCTCTAATTATAATCAAAATGATGCTTTGTAATAGATAGAAAGGAAACTAAATTGCTAAATTCGGGTTAATTTCAACTTTTGGGAGAAATAATTTTCATATCACAAAGCGCAATCTGTATAGTTGCACGAGATTATGTTAAATCTCATTATTAAGGACAGCGCCATCACTTGCGTATATATAACCAAGGACAAGTAATGGATTTTGACATCACCTAAATTTTATATCTTTAAAAATTAAATATATTATTTTCCAACCATGAAATATTTAAATTTAAATTTTGCGTTATTATTTTTCACTATTTTTATACAATTTATACAAGTGGGACTAACCCAACATTTGCCTGGTAAGCTGTGAACGCGATAATTCTTTGTTTATTTGTAATTTTATATTAAATCAATTTCTTTATTCACTTCTAGAGGGATGGTTTCGAGCCGGATCTCATCCAGAAAATTACATGATGGGAGTTGATTCCTTGATTTTTATGGAGAAGCTGTAAGAATTTTTGAAATCCCTTTGCCTTCAAGCATAGTATATTCATGAGTACCTCCATTTTTAATAGCCCGGAAGCAGCGGTTATGTAAAATCAATTCCAAGCGTAGAGTTTCCTTACAGCTATGGTACTTTGATACAATCTTTTTTTCCGAAAGCATATCTCGGCAAACGTGTTCGATTATCAGGATTCGTAAAATCCAATGTACGTCTCATTTAAAAACGTAATAATTCGTTTTTTATTTAATTTAATTTAATTTAATTTATTTTTTTTTTTGTGTTCCAGAATGTCACAGGCTGGGCTGGTTTGTTGATGCGGGTCGATACATTGTCAAAACTATATCTCGATACTATGTATCGTCGACCAATCACAGGTAATTAATTCACTTGCTTGATTATTCAATAATTATAATAATTATCATATAATCACGTTATTGTTATTTTTATTTTATTTATTTAACTAATAATAGGTAATAATGATTGGACGGTGTATGAAGATGTTTTAGAAGTTCCTATTATAGCGACTAAACTTACCTTTGGTATTTCATTAGTTGGTGGGCCTTTAAATGACAAATTATTTCGTAATTTCTATTATGAACATGAAATATACAATATTTATCATGACTGTTAATTTAGGTGAAGGAGAAGTTTGGCTTGATGAATGCAAATTTGAGATCGTAGATCCAACAAAGGTCAACCTCACTGAATTAACTGCAGCAGATGGAGGCGTTGAAGCTAGTCCTAATGCACTTCAAGAACCAATTAATCTCTCGTTCTAACTTCTCAGCAACCCTGAGAATTGATTGATTATATTTTGTTTTCTTTTTTATCGATGCGACATTTTTTAAATATTATATAAATATATATGTATTTTATTTTCATTTTTCAATAAAGTTAAATACTTAAAAAATTAAAATAATTCATTCATATGTATTTTTAAAACACAAATCAGCATAAATATCCAGCATTTGTTTTTTATGTTTAGACGTAAGACTTATTTAACCGGTTAACCGATTAAAACAATTAACCGGTTAACCGCAGTTAAAAATATTAATCGGCAATAAAGGATAAAAAAGATTTTTATTTATTGTTAAATTACAAATCAATGATAGCGAATAAATTGATGCCGAAAATGTATATATACTGTTGTATTCAGTTCTTTTTCTTTTATATTTATAATCAATTTGTAATTTCTAAGCAGAGGTTTATTTTAAAATATTGAATTAATTATGACTCTTAAATTATTTAATAAAAATTTATTATAAAGTGTTGCCTCAACGTCAGCGCTCTATGCTTTCGCATATTCAATTTTATTAAACTCAATAAATGATCACTAAATGCTAATTAATTAAAACTACGCATAAAAATAAGAAAATAAATATAACGAAATTACAAGCTACAACATAAAAATTATGGGGTTAAAACGATAATATCGCAAGGGAAAAAGTAATGAATCAAAGGTTAGGGAATGGAATCGATTCTAATAAAATCGAATTAATCGAAAATCGAACCGAAATCGATTTTTAATCGATAAATCGTATATAAATAAATCGAATCTTTTTTGACGTTTTTGCCATATAATAATGCTCAGCACATTGCGCATTACAATTACAAATAAGTGTCTAACTTTATGGAGTGAAGTTGAATTAAATGTTAAGTTACAAAATTTATGAAAGAATGTAAAATTTTTTGACAAATATTCATGTCCAAAATTTTAAGAACAAATTATTATAACGTAAATTATATAAATTGTTCAGTATAAAAAAAAATTGATTTTCGCGATAAATTATTATCATTATACTAGCGGTTTTAACCGGCGATGCCCCGGGTTCTCTATCAAAGATATTTAAAATAAATAATACAATTTATTGATGTTTTTTTTATCAATTCATCCAACCATAACCCTAACCCTAACCCTTATATTAATGCTAACTCATCTCATAGAACCATAATCTTACGTAAACTATAACCCTAATCCTAATTCTAACATTAACTCGTAATTTATGTAATTTATATTTTCAATTTTTAATGATAAATTTTATTGATTATTATATTTTTTTTTTAATTATTCTTTTTACCGCGATTTTAATTTAATGTATTTTATTTTTATTTTAATTTAGGATTGATTAATTTTAATTTATTGAATCTAGGGATGCTAATGGTCACGGTCATGACCGGTCATAACCGGTCATAACCGTGACCGATATCGGTCGGTCAAAGGCT